AATTTCACATGGCCTTGCTGTCCCACGGTGGACTGCAGTTATTGGTAGTCTCGAAACTCTACTTACATACGAAAAATAAGTAGCGTAATCGATTGTTATAGCAAAAGTACGTTTAATTGAGTGACTATGCCACAAAGAATGTGATATGCGAAAAGGCCTGGCCTTCCTTGAAATTCACATCTGTCCTGTACCACCCAAGGGCACTCGTGGAAATGTGGCTAATTTGGTTAAAGTGTCACGGTTCGACCCCCGCTGGGGTTGTTGATAAGACCGATGCGAGGTCGAACTGGCATTCCTCTCCAGCTTTTTGGAAAGCAAGGCTATGTGAAATTGCATAGAAACGTCAGCTCTACTCATATCATTGTGGGAAATTTCTACTGCCAGTCCTTCATCACAGTAAATGAAATTTGATGAATACATCTCATACTACTGATTGACTAGTAGTCACGAAAACAATACTTAATTCGAAAAACAAAAAGTTTGTCTAGACCAAGATGGCTTATCCTCTATTTTGATCGCGATCTCCTGTCACTGTATACAAGTGGTTTGGCTTTGGTCATTTTGCCTTGACAACCCACGTGAATACATATTGTCCCAAGCGCTCTGCCATAGCAGTCATGAGGGTGTACCAAGTCTAAGGTTCGAGGCTATAAGTTGTCACGGCTACTAAGGCAGTGGGAAAATTCAACTTCATCACCTTACACGAAATAGGGTGAATACATTTTATATAATTGACAATTAATAAATAATAATTATATCCAATAGATCCCAATAGATCCAGTAGATCCCATTTTCATAGTCGATAGAAAACTCGACTGTAAGGGAGTCGTGGAAAGCGAGCTGACGTGGCAGCCTAGACGACTGTTAAAACCGGTCTTTTCGCTTGATTTGGTATATTTTCGGCATGATCATGTCTGTCGCGGTACAGACTTGTGAGCACGATTGCGGTGAGATCATATCACCAATTACTTCCAAGCAACATTTGCTTAAAAATGAAATTCCTTGCCCAATAGTCAACATTGTTCATACATGCACATCTGCGGCGTGTGAGATGTGTGCGCGAATTCACATTATGCCTCCTCGTCGGCCCACTTTTGTGTTCCCATTCAGGCGCTGCTGGTGCGAGGTGTGGCACTGTCTCGCCTGCATCGCTTCAGCGAGGCCTCCGAGTGCCTCTTCTCCGCCTTCTGTCGGTACCCCTGTTGCGAGCGTCTGCGCCGCGAGCTCACCCACCTCGTCAACGAGTCCCTCTCCTCGTGTGATGTCGATCTCTTCAAGCAGATGGCAGCAGCCTGCACCCGTTCGGCCGGCAGCATCACAAAGAGTCTGAAGGTAGCAACACCTCGAGTCTGACATGACCTTCTCTGAATTCACCTTTCGACAAGCATGTAGGAAAAGTGTAGGATTTCCAACCAAATCATCAGTTGGCGTCAAACACACTGTCCTGGTCATTTCGTGTGAAGAGGCGAATGGCAGCGAAGCTGTGGATGGATTGTCTCGCAGGTGTGACTGTAGATTTGTGTGAATACGTCGTTGGCGCAAAAATTTTGACAAAGCGTAGGAAATCCAAACGAAACATGAGATGCCTGATTAAGTAGAGCAAATGGGACTACAAGAAGTGGGTAGGCTTGACGATGGTCACCTTTCTCGCCGAAAACGTATTCGCACAAACCTACATTCGCAGCTCGAAGACAATCAATCCATCTACAGCTTCGGGTAGAACCAACTCACAAATCCCTTCCATTTGCCT